TGAAGAAGATGATGAAGACGCGTTCTTGAAAACCAATAAAACTGATTCACACATTGTCAAACTCTCATAACAAAAAAAAATCACACTGCTTGAATACCACTTAATGTCGGATCTTCTTCGCTATTTAGGCTTGCAGGGTCAACCTTGTTTCAATAACCTGCTTATTCTCTGAGGATGTTTGTAGGTCATCTTCGGTACTTGGTTTAGCTGTTATTCACGGTCTGACATTCAAGCTATATCAACTTTTGCAGCTGCTCTGGCCAATGGTGCTTAGCCTGTTGGCCAGTCTGCTGGCAGTTCTAACAAACCTTCCACCTTCTGAAGAGGTTATCAGCTTAGCAGTTCTCTCGATAGAACCACTTCGTAAGACTTTAGCCGTCCCAAGATGCCCTTACCTAAACGTCACGGCTGGATCACAACAGGATTACGAATATCAGATTTGCATTTTCTTTGAAAAAATCGTAACATTTGAATTTCCCTCTAAATTGCAACGCACGCCAATGAAACATGTACAAATGCCAATAATTTGGTGTGTTTGGCCTAATGGATCAAAAAGCATTTATTCAACCAAAACATGCATATTCACGTCTCACGTATGGACAAGTGAAAGTTTTGATGGGAAAAATTGCTAACCCGGGAGTGAGAAAAGCTAGAAAGCTGAAACTTTAGAGGAATATTCCTTATGTATAACCAAAAATTTCAAGTTCAGCTCGCTAGAACAGCCTGGGACTCATGTAGGGGCACGTGAAAATATTGGCGGAAAATCGCTGACTCGGGAACGAGAACAACTGCAAAGCTGAAACTTTACGGGAGCTGCTGTGATTCCTTGCTAGCTACTGTGATTCCTCATGGGGATGAATAGAGAGCCACAGACTGTGCATTGGCCAGAAGAGAAACTTAAATTGAAAAAAATGGGAAATGGTACAAGCACACATTTCGCTTAAACTTTTTTGATGAGAGCACTGTCAAGCCCTTCCACTGGAAAAAGCGATGGCTGCTCGTCCGTCTGAATAACCCAATCTTGAATTGCTTTGAGTACGGAATACACTCATAAATTTGAATCAGATCTGTTTCGCACATTTGGGATGTATGGCAAATTTTCTTTGCGAGAATGCCGTCTAAAAAAAAACACTGCACAAAAAGTCGGCCTCACCAAGAGACTGAAAAGGACGGTCAAGTCTCGGCACTTGGGAGTCTTTCTCGCCAACTGCCATCGGACCGGTCCGAAATGACTACGGCAGAAGGGCATTATATTTCTAGTTTGTGGAATTGCTGGCAACAGCGAACTGGCTGAGCAGAGAATGAAAGAAATGCACTTCATAGCAAGTCCAGCTAAAAAAATTTTACTCTGTGCATGGAATGCGGCCGCATGATTCCGCTAAAAATCAGGACATCCTCTCACCCAGTTGCAACAGAAAATTTTTCAAGAAGAATTGTATGTATCAAACTGTAAAGCAATGAATGTTTTAACAACAAGCATCCGCTGGGCGAAGCTGTGCAAAAAGTGCGCACGCAGGGCTACCTTGTTGGAGCATTTAAAGCTACCTATTATCAAGAGAAGGGGAGAGAGATGACGGGATCGCATGCGTGTTGCAAACAGTTGAATTTTGGAAACTTTCACTACCCGTTTCAAATTTAACACTTCCGTCTTTAATCGCCTCTCAGTGAACTCTCTGGAACAGTCTTGATGGCGATTAGCCTGATTAAGAAGCCGCTTGTCTGCGATAGACTGGAAATGATCCCGCAGAGCTTTATTCATTAATAAATGGCCAGCGCATCGACTGCCGGTGCAAAGATGCGTTTTTCGTGTAACCTCTCGCACGTTTTTGTCGCTAACTACACCAGCTTTCCCCACAAATGCTTCTGGATAACTGAGACTGGCCATCCCGATAAGATTTCAGCCTTCTAGCTTCTCGGATCCCCGAGTTATGAACTCACCCGAGATAAATTTTGGCGGGCCGCACGCGGGTATCACGCTTACCTGGAGGCTGGGTTTGAGCGCATTAGACTTACGTGGACGAGGAATATCCCCTTAAAATTTCAGCTTTTTAGCTTTTCTGGTTTGCGAGTTGGCAGCTTACCCGTGAAAAACTTTGACGGGCTCCTACGTGGGTATCGCGCGGGCAAAACCGCCCGTTTCGGGGATTGGAGCCCGTACCTGCATGTAGATTAAGTCCGCTAAGTTTCAGCCTTGTAGCTCTTGTAAGTCTCGAGATGAAAAATCGGTACAGAGGCCCTGCGCACAGACAGACAGACAGACAGACACACACACACACACACACACAGACAACCTCTCGTCAATAAGCGCTTTCCACATTGCATAGCTGCAAAAAACACATAAAAATGAGAAGTAGTGCAAGCACACATTTCGCTTAAACTTCTTTGATGAGAGCACTGTGGCACACAAGCCCTTCCACTGGAAAAAGCGATGGCTGCTCGTCCGTCTGAATAACC